ACCCTAAACCCTAAACCCCATGCCTCAAAGCCTCAGCTCTGAACTCCTAGGCCCCCGGTGCAACGACGTGTCAGCGCTCAGAACCCCAATGCCCTCGGGCCCAAAACCATAAACCCAACAACTCCAAATCCTGAGCCCTAAACCCGAAACCCTAAACTACTTCCCAAACCCAAACTGAAACCCCAACACGAAACCATCAACCCCAAAAACCTCCAAATAACCCTAAAGCCCTCGACCCAACCCGTATCAAACCTTTACCAAAGCTCTTCTATGACCCGTCTAATCCGCATAGAACTTTATTGGGTGACTACGGGATTTCCCCAAAACAGATCGCTTGATTTTCCCTCGGACAGGAGCACCCGGGATGATGGGATCCCTACTATACTCACCGCAGCATAACGCACCGAACGTTAAACCCGAAACCCTAAATCTTCATAAACACCAAGAGGAACTCAGTGGAAAGCGGCATCCGGGAGCTACAGAAGCCGTTTTTTCCGTGCTTCTAAGGATCGTTTGTTGCGAAGCGGCTGACAAATGTATCCAAGACATCCTTCAGGCATTTGAGGGTTTTGCGGGTTTTAGGGTCTGATTCCGGCAGTCAAGAGTCCCTAAGCGGGTTCTATATGAGGGTCTTCTTGCAAGGATTGGAGTTTACCGTTTTCTTAATTTATATTGTCAAGTTAGGGTTTGATGGTTTGGGAATTTACGCTTTCAGGATCACAGCGCTCTAGAGTTTTGGGGTTTATGGGTGTTTCAGGCTTTGTGGTTTGTGGGGTGTTGGGCTGCGGGGTTTACAAGTGTTCGGGCTTTCGGGCTTCAGGGAGGTTCATGTTAGGGTTAGTTCAGGGTTTTGGGGGTTTTGGGGTTTGGGGTTTTTGAGATTGTCTAAACCCTAAACCCTAAACCCTAAACCCTAAACCCTAAACCCTAGTTGGGTGGAAGACTATGAGGTCTTGGGGGCTGAGGCCTTGAAGCCTTTGGGGGCTTTAGGGTTTCGATGGGATTGTCATAAAGTTTTTTGGGGTTTAGAGGTTTCATATACAGGCCTTAGTAACTACCTATACCTTTTTTTTGAGGTTTCTTATGACATTTACGGTATAAGGGGCCCCAAAAACCCTGTTCTGATTTTATTCAGGCCCCTAAACCCTAAACCCTAAACCCTACATTAGGATACTGCGAGCTTGGGAGTGAGGGTATCGGGTCTTTGGGCTCCCACTCCTTCGCCGTGGCCCCTGACGGAACCTTCGAAACCCCGCTTTGACACCGCAAAACCCGGAGCCGGTGCTGCGTTACTGTCGGGGCCACGGTTTAGGGTTTAGGGTTTAGGGTTTAGGGTTATAATTGGGGGCCTCTTATTATACTTATAGTATAATATACCCCAAAACCCTATTCTAACTAGTAAGGCCCCTATACTCTGGGGTTGCTGAAGCTGAAAAATACTTTTTTTGGGGGGGTATTTGCAAACCCAACCTTGAATCCCGAACTTGCAGAAACAGAGGCCGCCAACCCTGTAGAACCCTCACTGGACACCTTTACTTCCAAACTTCCAAACTCGTACATCTCCTACCGTAGGGGCCGAAACAATTACCTATACTATGTTGGGGGTTCCATATTATAATTATAGTATAATGGGCCCCAAAGCCCTATTCTAATTTAGCAAGGCCCCTAAACCCGAAACTCTTCTAGCAGCCCTTATAGAAGCCTTTAAGGAACCCTTCAAAGGAACCCCCAAGACCCTATTCTGACTATTAAGGCTCCTCTAGGAGACCTTCCAACCCAAAACCCCTAAACCCTAAACCCTAAACCCTCAACCCTAAACCCTAAACCCTAAACCCTTCCCCCCAGAGCCAGCAAACCAGAAGCCGAAGACCCGACAGGACATCCGTGCCCACGTCTACGATGTCCGCGCCTTCATCGTCTTGGAGGAACCGATTTAGGGTTTAGGGTTCAGGGTTCAGGGTTTGGGGTTTAGGGTTTAGGGTTCAGGGTTTAGGGTTTAGGGTTTGGGGTTTAGGGTTTAGGGTTAGCTTCCTCCGCGGCGTTTTTCTTGGAAGTGGTTGTGACTCCGTGTGTGGGGGAGGTTGAGCTGTTCCAGGTTGAGGTTTTTTGGGTTCGGTGTGTTACACGGGTATGGGTTCATACACATGTTGTTGCAGACACAGACGCAAAGGAATATAGGTAGTTTAATAGATACATCATGTGAATATACATATACATATATATATATATATATGCATACATATATATATATATATATGCATGCATATATATATATATATATATATAAAGCTACTGGGCTCTAGGGTATAGGATTGAAGCCCTAATCCCTAAGCTCTAGACGCTAAACCCCAAAAGCCGTAAACCCTGCAGAACGCGAGATCCTAAACCCAAAGCCCCAAAGCAAGGAGTGTCCCCTGCCACTTTTTAAAAGCGGTTTGGGGTTTAGGGTTAAGGCTCGGGGACTTGGTGAGTGGGTTGCTAGATGCTTCGTCTAAGGGCTCTTGTTTTCATGAAGGCCTGCAGGCTTTCATGGAAATGTGCAGGGTACCCTAAACCCTAAACCCTAAACCCTAAACCCTAAACCCGGAGGGGATGGCTGAATTTCAGCCCCTTCCCCAGCCCTCCAAACTGCATTCTTCAGCAAGGCTCTCGTGCCTTCCAAGTCCACTTGGAGGTTCATGGGTAGGTATAAGTGGGGGTATAAGTAATGTTACTATAGTTATAACTTATAACCCGTATTAGGGGGCTTATAACCCACGTATAAGCACCCATGAACCTCCAAGTACCGCAGGTTTTTAGAAACCTTAAACCCCAAAACCCTAAACCCTGTCTCACCTTTAGTGTAGGTCTCGCGAGGCTGAGATGGTCGTAAAGTCCGCTCCACTACACGACCCTAAACCCTAAACCCTAAACCCATTTTTGGCGCCCCAATTTTTGGATTTTGGTGGCCAGGGCAAGCCACAGCTGACGTCCGCCCTCCAAGCGACCACCAGGGATATACGCAAAATATAGGCCTAAGTAAGTACTAATATTATTCCCTAGGGTTCCGTATTATAGTTATGCTATAGGATACCCCATACACTAAAACCCTGCTCTAATCATTTAGGCCCCTACATTAAGCTCCCAAAAAAGCATCTGGTGGCCAAGCTACAACTGCATCCGGGAATACGCCCTGACCCCTGACACCTATCTCGCTACCCACAGGCTCTATTGTAGTTCCTTTTGGGGGTTACCTTGTAGGATCCTAAAAAGAAGCCACAAAAAGGAACTACAATGGAGCCTGTGCGTAAACTCTCCAAACCCTAAACCCTCGCAGGACCTAAACCCTTCCGGGAGCCCTTAAAGGACTTAAGCCCTAACCCCAAACCCTAAACCCTAGAGCCCAAACCCCAAACCCTAAACCCCAAACCCTAAACCCTAGACCCTAAACCCTAGACCCTAAACCCTAGACCCTAGACCCTAAACCCTAGACCCTAAACCCTAGACCCTAAAGCCCCTAAACCCTAACCCCAAAATCCTAAGGCCTTAACGCGAAAACCCTCGAAGCTGCAGCCCCAGAAAGCCTAAAGCTGCGCAGGATGACACGATCAGCACGGCCCTGCTACTGGGCACCATTCGATTCAGACGCCTTGGAACTTAGAGTTTAGGGTTTTGGGGTTTGGGGTTTTGGGGTTTGGGGTTGATAGGATTTAGGGTTTTGGGCCTTGGGGCTTTGGGCTTCGGGTTCAGGGCTTCGGGTTCAGGGCTTAGGGTTTAGGATTTAGGGTTTGGGGTTTTATGGTTTAGGGAAGCACTGGGAAACCAGAGTGTGGAGCTTTCGGAGTACAGTGGTCTGAACGGGTAGTATGGTATAGCATACCCCCAATCACTAAACCTTAAAGCCAAAGCCCCGGTATGTGTAGTTGGAAAACACACAGAACTCTAAGCCCTCAGTCATAAACCCCTCATATTTACTTGTTCCACTGCAACACGGTTTCCCCGCAAAATCTCGTCCTTCTTGTTGAGGCGCCGAGTTTCAACGGAATCAACAACCCCTTGTTTCTGGTTCTCAGCGGTTCGAAGATTTGGAGGTTCAGGGTTGCTGTAGGGGCGAGCATGAGGGCTGCCATAAGGGTTAAAACGACGGGGTAGTACAGGGTTTAATAGGGTCAGGGTTTTGGCTGAATGGTGTAGGGTTTAGGGTTTAGGTGGGAGTCATGGCGTTTGGCAGCCTGTCTACTTCTGTTTCTCATTTCTCCCCCGCCACAGCTACGACCAGCAGCAGAAGCAGCGCCCTCACCACCACTGCAACTGGCTTATGTGTATCACAGCTACTCGGGTGCCATTCCACCATGGAAACACGTGTTTGCCTCAGCATGTTCTCACTACCTCCCCCCTCTGGCCTCTGGACCCTACTGAAGCCAAGCCTTTCACCACAATAGTTTGAATAAGTAGTAATGTTTTGATCGGTTTCCAGATTCTAGATAAAGCATAATAATATCATATACCCAGAGCCATATATTCTAAAAGCTCCATATTCTAGTTAAAGCACAATAGCATATACCCAGAGCCATATATTCTAACTATCAAAGCCCTCAGAAGAGAGAAATCCTTCACCCCAGACCCAGGCACCCGAAGCCCTCGACCCCTGCAGCTTCGAAGCGAGACGTGGGCAACTCAAGACCTTGAAGAGACCCTCCGAAACCCTAAACCCTAAACCCTAAACCCTAAACCCTAAACCCCAAACCCTAAACCCTGTATACTAAAATTAAAATCCTAAACTTAAAGGAATCCTTAAAAGGAACCCTCGGGGTTTGGGGTTAGGTTTCAGAAGGAACCGCTTTAAAGGAGCCCTTCAAAGGAACCAAGGGTTTAGGGTTCTTTAAAGGAGCCCCTTAAAAAAAAGGAACTATGCAGCGCTTCAACGCATGGACTTCAACCAGATTCTCATGGACGTGCGCCTTGGCAAAGTGTCCCCTAAACCCCAAGACCTAAGCCCTGAATAGGGTTTAGGGGTTTAGGGTTTAGGGTTTAGGGTTTAGGGCCCTAAACCCTCAAACCCGAAGCCTTCAACGCTGAATCCAAAGCTTCGAAAGCTGAGAGCCCTTAGCCGCACCCAAGGTTTGAGTTTTTTTTGGCGCCTCAGGGAACTTAGGTCAGGGTTCAGGGTCGCGCATCTTTTGGTGGAGATTTCAGGCTCATGGTTTGGAGTTGCATCGGCGGGGAGGATCGAAGGTGCCTGGTCTCAGAGATGACCATAGGGTTTAGGGTTCAGGGTTTAGGGTTCAGGGTTTAGGGTTCAGGGTTTAGGGTTTAGGGTTTAGGGTTCAGGATTTAGGTTTTAATTCGGGTTCAGGGCACAGCCTGCAGCGTTGAGGGTTTAAACGTAGGGTTTAGGGTTCAGGATATAGGGTTTAGGGCT